AAAAAAAATGAAGGTCATTGCCACGTTTTCAAATTTTATTTTTTCTTTTAATTTGGTATTGATTTTGAACTTTGCTCTAACAGTAGGTGGCCTGACAATACACAGATTGCTGATTTGGGAATGACCTCCCATAGTAATAAACAGTCATTTCCTGGCAGAATATAATCAGTTTCATTTGTTGTGTTGTTATTTGGTGCTTGCTACGTCCAGCTTCTCCCTAACTCCTTACTTAAAAAATAAAGGCATAAAACTTTTGTATATTCTATAATGTTGGCCTCTCATTTTGTATTCCCTGATTACATTTTCAACACATATCTCTCTGTTCTTCCCTCTCCCCGTACCTATATTTGCACTGATATCTTTAAGTCAGAGGTGGGGAACCTGTGATCTCAAGCCCACCTTTAGGTTCTCAAGTGCAGAAGGGATGCACCCTTCTGGAATTCCCCACCCCTGCACTAAGCTTTAAAGTATTCTTTGGTTGAATTTGACATCTTCTTGATTTATTCATAGAATTTTTTCATCCTTAATAATCAATGGTGATGAATAAATTAAATTATATTTATGGTCTTGCTTCAAATATTTGACATGAGAACAGCATTATGAAATGACCTAGAGTCCTATGAGATGTTTCTTGTCACTTGGGATGCATTACAAATCTACTTCTTCCAACTCCATTACAGTATTTGTCTCTTTAAGAAAAAAAAAAAAACAACTCAAGAGCAACCCTTTCATTTAGCTATAACTTCCTTTTTATTTTTACTTTTATTTATAGTGAGAATTTCAATATATATATATGTATTCAATACATATATATTTATTTATAAATATATACAACATGAATATATGTGTAAATTGTGTGTGTGTGAGAGAGAGAGAGAGAGAGATACAATTGCTCTAGTAGAATATCCACTTGGTCACTGGATGGGAATCACACATTTAGATTATCAACAGGTAAGGTGATTTTGACAGGCAGTCTAAAAACTCTGCTTCATAGTCTCTTCTATTCTCTTGTCTTGGTTGTACAGCGGATAGAACAGTGGACTTGGGAGTCAGGAAGACTTGAAAAGAATGGAAAGTTTCCAGAAAAACTAGTCAAGTTCATTCAATCATTAATCTTAATTTTATATAAAATTTTAGATCAATGTTGGCCCTGCCTTTCTCACAGAATAAAGTATATGGGCTTCAGGGAAATAATTTTCTTTGCTGTTCAGAGGCTTTTTTCATTTACTGCTAAGCTTGTGGCAATATTCTGTATGATTGAAGTTAGAACTTACACTAAGATATAATCATAGCTAAGATATTAATCATAGCTAAGATAAATGACCATAAGAAAGCCCACTGTTTAGCTTGAAATTTATATTCTAAGGTTCTAACCAACTGATTTAAGCCAAGTCTACTATTTCCTAATTGTATCTTTTTTAAGTTATTAGAAGCCTTTATAAGTCTTTTCATCCTTTCAACATTAATCTTTTTAAACAGTATTTTATTTTTTCCCAATTACACGTCAAGACAATTTTTAGTATTCATTTTTTTAAATTTAAAAATACTTTATTGTTAAAAAAATGCTAACCAATATCTGAGCCTTCAGCAAGTCATAATCTTTTTGTTGGTGGAGGGTCTTGCCTCAATGTATAACATTAATCTTAAATTAATTTGAAATTAATATTAAATCTGAAATTTTAGTTTTGTAAGCCATTTTATTTGAGTGGATAACTGTCTCATAGTCAGCATTGTTTAGTAGGCTAAAATGGCAGTGACTCAAAAGGGCAAAGGAAGAGTGTATTTAAAATAAGCATGAGAAAGAAACTTTCGCTGTTCAGTAATTTCAGTGGTGTCTGACTCTATAATTCCATTTAGAGTTTTCTTGGCAAAGATACTGGAGTGGTTTGTCATGTCCTTCTCCAGCTCATTTTACAGATGAGGAAACTGAAGCAAACAGGTGACTTGCCCAGGATCACACAGCATTGTTAAAAAGTGTCTAAGGCCAGTTTTGAACTCAGGGAAATGAGTCTTTCTGACTCTAGGCCCAGCCACCTAGTTCCCTGGGAAAGGAATTACAAGAAGAGGCAGCTTGAGAAGATGTACTTTCCTAGTATCATTAATCAAAAAATAGACTCAAATTATTCATATTGTATAGCTCCTTTGAATTTTGAATTCACAGTGTCTTCAAATGACATAAGAATCAGAAGTAATAAATAACAACAAAACAACAATATGAATTCATCTACTTATAAACATCTTTTGGCTTTTAGCTCTCAATATAGTAGCAGAAAAATAATAAAATGAAAGCTTTCCTCCATTTAAGGTAAAGACGAAATTTCATATTATAGAAAATGGGACTAGAGAACTGTTGTGGTTTCACATTTCCTGAGGAAAGAGTAGTAATTGACTTATTTTAGAAAAAACCTAGAGAATTAAGGTTCTTACTGAAAAGAGGCAGAAGTGAACCACTGAAAATTTCAAAAATGAATGAGGATTGATAAATTTGATTATAATGGACTCTTTTTTTCTCCAGGAAAGAGCTTAGAAACTCAGACAACAGATGAGATTCAGTAAAGAGCATTGGTCAATTTCTAAGGAAGTAGCTGAGAGGAATATTTCAAAGAATAAAAATGATGATTATGGAGAGTTACCTTGTTTTCTACCTGGACATTGTCACCATCCCCCAACACTGCAGAGTGATGAGGTTCAACTTTTTGTTGTTCACCGTTAGGACCTTAAAAAGGGAATCAAAATTAAGTTTAATGATCATTATGTATTACAGTAATTGTATGACTACATATTATTTTAATTATACACATTAAGTGTGATATATATTCATTTATACTTTCTTTTTTAATTTCATTTTTAATTTATGGAATAAAATAAGCATTTCCAAAACACAGTATAATAAAAAAGATGATTATACATGAAATTGCAAATCTATTACACGCAACTTGCTATTTCTTTCAAATATACAACAAAATTATCATGTAAAATTCTTTTTTTTCTTTTTCTCCCCCCCCCCTCTAGAGATGGCTACCATGACCATTAGACATACATAAGTATAGGTATATATATGTATATATGTATGTATGTAAAATTAATATATATGTAAAATTATTTTATACATACTTCTACTTATCAGTTCTTTTTCTGGATGCAGGTGGCATATTTCTTCATATGTCCTTTATAGTTAATTTGGGTATTCATACTGGACAAAATAATCACTTTAAGTCGTTCTTAAAACAATATTACTGTTACTATATACAGTACTCTCTTGATTCTGCTCATTTAGCTCTTCATTATTTCGTGCAAGGCTTTCCATGGTTTTCTAGAATCACTGAGCTCATCATTTCTTATAGCACAGTAGTATTCTATCACAATAATATACCACAACTTGTTCAGCCATTCCCCAGTTGATGGGCATCCCTGCAATTTCCAGTTCTTTGCCACCACAAAGAGATAAACATTCTAGAACACATAGGTTCTTTTCTTTTTCCCCTAATCACCTTTGGAAATAGACCAAATAGCGGTATTACTGAGTGAAAGTGTATAAGTAGTTTAATAACTCTTTGGGCATAATTCCAGATTGCTCTCCAAACTGGTTGGATCATTTCATAATTCCACCAACAATGAATTAGAATCCCCATCTTTCCACATCTTCTCCAACATTTGTCACTTTCCCTTTCTATCATTTTAGCCAACTTGGTAGGTATAAAATGATATCTCAAGGTTGTTGTTTTTTGGCTAGGCAATGGGGTTAAATGACTTGCCCAGAGTCACACAGCAAGTAAGTATCAAGTGTCTGAGGTTGGATTTGAACTCAGGTCCTCCTGACTCCAGGAGGTGCTCTATCCACTGTGCCACCTAGTTGCCCCTCAAGGTTGTTTTAATCTGCATTTCTCTAATCAATAATGATTTAGGGCATTTTCCAATATGACTATAAATTATTTTGATTTCTTAATTGGAAAACTGTCCATATCCTTTGACCATTTATCAGTTGGGGAATGACTCGTACTCTTATATATTTGACAAAGTTCTTTATATATTAGAGATGAGACCTTTATCTGATAAACTATCTATACATTTTCCTCCAATTTTCTGCTTTCCTTCTAATCTTGACTATATTTGTTTTACTCATACAAAACGTTTTTAACTTAATGTAATAGGAATTGTCCATTTTACACCTAATTTTGCTCTCTATGTTTTGTTTATTCATAAATTGTTCACCTGGTCCATAAGTCTGATAAGTAATATGTCCCATGTTCTTCTAATTTTCTTGTAAAATCTCTCTTTATATCTAGGTCATGTGAACATCTTGACCTTATTTCAGTAAATAGTGTGAGATATTGATCCATGTCCAGTTTCTGCCATACTGTTTTCCCATTTTCCCAATAATTTTTTTACCAAATGATGAATTCTTATCTCAAATCTTAAAGTCTTTACACTTGTCAATTACAAGGTTATTATTTTTATTTGGTACTGTAAAGTGTATGTCTATTCTATTCCATTGATCTACCTTTCTGTTTCTTAGCCAGTACCAGATAGTTTTGATAATTACTGCCTTATAATACAGTTTAAGATATAGTACTACTAAACCTCCTTCCTTTATACTTTTTTTCATTATTTCCTTTCATATTCTTGATTTTGTTTTTTTCCAAATCAATTTTAGTATTTTTTCTAATTCAGTAAAATAATTTTTGGTAATTTAATTGGGATGGCATTGAATATATAAATTAGTTTGGGTAATCCTTTAAAAATACTTTAAATTTTAAAAAATAGAAGATAAAACTTTACTTTCAAAATAGAAGAAAGATGTTTTCCAATTTATTTACCTGAGCATCTTTGTATGACTTTTAATTTTTGGCTGGCTCATAGCCAAAGCAGCGAAGAACAAATGGTAAGGTCATTTTTTATATTTGTTTGCATTTTTTTCCCCACAGCTTGGTAATTTCCATATTTTGGTAATGACTTTTGCTCTAAAAGCCCCTATGAGTCTAATTTATTCCATGTGAAATGCAACATCTAAGAGCCAAGCACACTTAGGGAAATGCAAAGATGTCTTGATAGCCACCGGCAATGAAATCCAACCAGTTTATTAAGCATCTTACTTACTATGTGTCCTGCATTGCAGAGTACACAAAAGAAGTATTAGTTAAGTTCCTTCCTCCCCTGCCCATGACAGTACTTAAAGCCTCACTGGAAAGAGAAGTCAAACCAGATAAACTAGCATATTAGCTGCAATTATGATCATTTTGTTTCTTCTTTGCCTAGGCTTATTCCCCCAATTTCTTTTTCTTTTTTTTTAATCGCTATAGCTAATATTCCCAGAATCAAACAAACAATAGTGGTGACATTGGACATATTTGAATTACTCTGATCTAACTGAAAAGACCTCTAGTGTTTCTCTAGTTCAGATTACACCAACTCTTACTTTTATATAGATACTTTAAAAAAAAAATTAAATTAAGGAAAGGTCCACTTGTTCCTATACTTTTGAGGTTTGTTTTTTTAAAACATATCAATATTGTATTTTGTCAAAAGACATACTCAGTTTTTCAAGGTACATTTCATTTTTTCTTTTGTAATGTAATATACCAAGAATTTATCTTATTTAAAGGAATTACATCATAGCGTTGAGTGATTCTGACTGTGGTTCCCTGGTACATGACCTTTTTCTTTTACTTGGAGCATTTTTCCTATTACTTGGAAACTGTAGATCTTAACTGTGACAATCCTAGGTGTTTTTAATTTGAGGTTTCTTTCTACTGATGAACATTGTACTGTTCATATTTTGATTTCTTTGATTCTAATTGATCTGGAAAGCTTTTTTATGATTTCTTGAAATATAATCAGATTTTTTTTCTATTTGGTCATGGTTTTATGGGAGGTTACTGATTCTTAAATTATCCATCCCCAACCTATTATTTTACATAGAAGGAACCTTAAATTTTCTTCCATTTTTTCAATCTTTTTACTTAGTTCTAATATTTTTTTGGCCTCAGAATCACTGAGTACTATTTGTTCCATTCTTGTTTTTCAGGGAGTTTAGTATTTGGTGTAAGGATCTCCACCTTCTAGTCTAAGCTATTTATTCTTTTTTCCCTCAAAAGCTCTAATTTTACTTGTAACTTAACTTTCACATTTCCTCGTGCTTCATGTCTTCCAACAATTCTTGGGGACCTTTAGCAAAGCATGATTTTTCTTTACTTATCGTGGAATGACTTCTTTCTTCTGGGTTTATCTCATAGGCTTCTCTTGATTCTTACTGTTTCTTCACTGTATTTAGTGTGTTACTCTGTTTACTCATTTTCCCTGCTTAGTTTCTCAGTTGAGACTTTGGACTATGTTCAGATGCTCTGCCCATTCATACTTTGGATGCCTTGATCAGGCATTGCCTGGACCTCTTCTCTCCACAGGCTGCATGCTGCAGATGCTTTTCTGGATTGGGTGACTAGGACCAGACCCCATCCCCTCCTATAATCCCTAACATCTGGGTCTGTTTCCTGGTGGCCCAACTCGGGTTTGCCCTCAGCCCTTCTTTGTCTCTTCCTTGCACAAACCCCAACCCGATGCTGCCTTCATCTCCTGATAGGTTCTAACACAAAATGATAAACTGCACTGGTGACAAGCTTCCTGGTGCTGGAGCTGCCCGGTTGCTAAACCAACCCTCTCTTTCATAAGGGTTCTGACAAGAGTACTGGTTTCAGGGCTCTTGTAAGGTTCCCTGCTGCTGGTGCGCCTGGGGAATGAGCTGGCCCTCTCTCTCAATGTAGCTCAGAAATGGGTTTCCTAGGAAATATGTTGTCCTTAACTCTGAGGTTTGGCCAATGGTTACCTCAGTTCTGTGGCTCTGAGTGCTAGCTTTGGACCTCTTGGTGGGTCTCAGGCACACAGCTAACTTGGTGCTGTGGTAGATGCTGTTGTTCTAGCTTGGTCTGGACAGTGTGCTAGCTTGGTCTCCTGTGCTGAGGCACTGGCTTATGGCATCTTCAAGGGCTCCAGGCAAGTGTATGCCAACCAGCCCTATATCCCAATTCTGCAAGTTACAATACCTGGCTTTGTCTTCTGTTGTTCTGATGTGCCAGAACCAAGATCCTGCTAGCTTTAGGTCCCAGCTTGGAGCACTGGCTCCCTTATTTACTACCTAATGCCCACTTCTAATGCCCAAAGACATTTTAAGGTGGTCTTCCTGTGCAGTCCTGGACTAGATAAAGAAGTTTCTTACTATTTTCCTTTGGTTTTCTCTATCATTATTATTTCTTCTGGTGTGTTTTTAGAACTTTACTAGAGTCTTTGTGGAAGAGCTGGGCTTCTTTTGAACCTTTCTGGTTGCCATTTAAGCCTGAAGTTGACTTAGGCTGAATCTCAAAGGTTGGATAGGAACTGGATAGAGGTACAGCAAAAGAGGGGAAAAGTTCCAGGAAGGGTTAAAAGAAAAATAAAAAGAATAAATGCATAGAGACAAGATCAAACATGGAGTTTTGGAGGAAAGTAAAGACATTTGCCTGGCTGAGGTAGAATATTCACATGAAATTAAGGTGTTGGATTAAATGGTCTCTAAGTTCCCTTTCTACTCTAAATTATGTAACTGTATTATAATCTAACATATGTATACTATTGTGGATGAACTGTGGAGTGGCTTGTGATCCCTGAATTGCTTCTATATTATATGTGTGTATATATATATATGTATATATGCATACATATATATGTGTATATGTGTATAATAGATAATATTTCTATATTTTCACATGTGTCTAATATATAATAAATATATTCAATAATTCTATATATAACAACAACTACAAAATATATTCTATATATAACAATAATAACTAGCATTTATGCAGTACTTTAAGGTTTGCAAAGGACCTTATGTTATCTCATTTGATCTTTACATCAACCTTGTGAGGTAATAACAATAATAATAATAATGATAATAGCTAACATTCATGTAGTACTAACTATGTGCCAGGTACTGTGCTAAGTGCTTTGCAATTATTATTTCATTGGAGGTAGGTACTATTATTATCTCTCTTTTTACAAATGAGGAAACTGAGGGTAAGAGAGGTTAAGGAACTTGCCAATGATCACACAGCTAGTTAATATCTGACGCAGAATCTGAATTCAGCTCTTCCTGATTCCAAGTCAGGCACAACTATTGACTATAGCACTTAGTAGCCTATAGAGATCAAAACAGTTTGTAAAAAGCTTTGATTACTTTTAGGATGAAGTGACTGGTAAGAAGGAAGTTCTTAAAAAAAATAAGGCTAAATGTGAAACCCATGCTTTTCATCAGGCTTGTTTTCATTGCTTTTTGAGGCATTAGCCACATAACCCTAATCTTAAGTTTATATGGAGTAGCTCCTTTCATTTACCCTCTGTGCTTCATCTAAAAGGATTTACTGGAACTATTACTAGAAAAATGATATGAAATGAAACACTAATGTAGATTTTTACATAGAAACTATGAGAATCCATGTCATTCTGGCTCCTATCTTACATTTAAGAATTCTTTTAGTTTCCATATTGTAAAATGAAATGTTTAAGGCAAAGTCATACTTCAGCAGCAAGATTGATAAAAATATTTGTTCACAGGTCACTTAATTTTTCATCAATCTAGTAATCTCCTAAGTCTAAAATAAGTCAGAAATTTTTTTTTTTTTTCTGACAACTTTTAATGACAAACAGAGCCAGATCAGATACTAAAAAGTTTCCATTGCTAACTTTTGCCAAGAATGCTAAATCTTACTGTAAAGTTAAGAAAAAAAAATCCAACTGAAAACAATTTAATTGCAAATATTTTTGGATTTGGCTGTCTAAGCATTTGTGAAAGGGCAAAACAACCTTAAATCCTGTTTCTAATTGAATACTGTACTTGCAGGGTGTAACTTACTATCGTACATCTATTTCCCAGTGCTTGATTTCTGTCTTTCTTTCTTCCTTCTCCTTCTCCTTCTTCTACTCCCCCTCTTCCTCCTCCTCTTCCTATTTTTCCTCCTCCTCCTCCTCCTCTTCTTCATCTTCATCACACTCATTTACTCTACACAACACATTTTAGTACATATGGTCAGATGCTATCAATTTCCTATGTGTATATTTGTTTCCCAAACTGGATGTGTAAGTTTCTAGAAGGCAGAGGCTTCTTTTACTTTGTTCTATGTAAAATAGCACTGAATAAATAGATGCTCAATATATATTATTTTTAAATGATCAAATACATTTTTGGTACCACTTGGGTGATACAATTAATTTTTTGTTATACAACCATTGAAAGTTAGTTAAGCTTTTTAAATCTTTCAACTATCTATTATAAGTGTTTTATTGTTTTCTATGAACCAAACAATAAACTTGATGCTATTAAAAACAGAAGAAATCTAGGTTCTTCTGGTGGTTGAATTATAAACTACTATTCTTTTTCATGTCTGTGTGAAATGTAAGTTTATTACATCTTCAAACTATTCTTATACACTCTTCTTCCACCGAGTCACAGAGCTGACCACCAGGGAACCAAGACTGCTGTACTTCCCTTTGTGTTGCTAATTTGTCTCCTTCAAAGTCATTTGGCTTCTTCCTCTTTGACTTCTCAAACTCCTGGGTCTCCCAAGTATAGATGAGGTAATAGGGGGAGGTGACCCACAGTAGGGAGTCCTGTGTACTGCAGACTATATTAGGGATGCCCTTTGTGAAGTAGGTGGGGAAGGCTCTCTGCTGTAATGGGGACAGGCTGTAGGAAGTGATGTGCCTTACTCAGATCAGATTCCTGAACTCCTAGCCCATCTTTGTGGCACCTTCTGAGCTGACATCAGGACATTTCTCCCTGCACAGAATTCTTCAGGATTGCTTAAGGCCCCTCCACAATCTGGCCCCAACTTCTATTTTCACCACTATTCTCCTTCATGAACCCCTTTACTGCCCCCAAACAAACTGAACTATTCTCTCCGCTTGAAGGCATACTATGTTTTCCTGTCTACAGGCCTTTTCCTATGGCATACCCTTTCTCTGTAACCTGCTTCCTCTCACTCTGGCATCTCCACTTATTGAAATACTACCTGTCGGGGTAGGAAATAGAACACATCAAAAACCTCTGCTGATCAGAATAAGATCGGGTCAATGAGACCAGACCTGCACTTCCAACCTGGACAAGATAAGGAGACTTAGTTAAAAAAAAAAATTCTACTTATCCTTTGAGGTACAATAATAACTCAAATTTTAATTCCATTTGTTTCATTAACTTAATTTAAGTTTTTTGAATTTTCATTCCTCTCAACAGCCCTGGGAAGCAGACAATAAAAGTCTTAGGTCAATACATCAAGTATTCATGATTCATTTAGTGTAATAATTTCAACACCAAAGCAGAATTTCACATCCATCTATGACTTGGTAAATAAGACTAGATGACCTAAAGTCCATTTAAGCTCTTAAATGATGATTCTATGCCAGAGGTGGAGAACCTGTGGCCTCGAGGCCACAAGTGGCCCTCTAAGTCCTCAAGTGTGGCCCTGTCAGTTTGACTGTCAAAGGGACACTTGAAGACCTAAAGGGCCACATGTGGCCTCGAAGCTGCAGATTCCCCACCCCTGTTCGATGGTCTTAGAGAGTTGAAGTTCAGTTGAATTGCCCACAGTTCTACAGCAGCTACATGTCAGAGATAACATTTGAAACCAAGTTCTCTTGACTCTAAAACCAGTATTCACTATAACACAATGCCTCATGATACCATTACCTCTATGACGCCTTCCTTCCCTGATCTTCCCCGCCAAAATGATCTCTTCCTACTCTAAATTATCTTAGTATTGTCTTCATACTTCTCTTCTGGCAATGCTTTCATTCTTTTTGGTGTTATAATTCTTGTCTCTCATTTATCTTGCATATATCTTCTTGTTTGCATGTTGTCTCACTCATTGTACTAAAAGCTCCATGAGGACAGGTATTGTAGTTTGCCTTTCATTGTAACACCAGCACTTAGCATAGTGCCCAGCACATTGTTGCTATTAGCAGGTGCTGAATAAATGTTTATTGATTGACTGATTATCTTGATTTCCTATACAACATTCCTATCAGCAGATATACTAGAAAGTTTATAAGAGAAACATAATTTTAATATTTTTTTCTCTATCTCTTTTTCAAACTACAGGGTTCTCCTTGTGCTTCTCATTTCCTCTCCATTTTGCCATTTTTTGCTGCTTGTTAAGCCCTCTAAGAATGGATGAGTAAGCAAAAAGAAAAGAACTAGAGTCCCAGCTTTCTTCACTGACTGGGCAGCTCGAGCAGCTACAACATGGTCCCTATGAGGCTGAGGTTGTGAGTTTGATCTCCGTAAGTGGCAGATGACTTTGCAGAGAAGAAAGTACAAGAAGATTGTACATATTGGAATAGACAGATTGAAACTTGGGGTAAGGAAATAGTCTAGGGAGAGATAATGACCATAACACTGTCAGAGTTTTTTACACATGTGTACCCTTGATTACAGTGGAGGTAAGACAAGAGTCAGTATGACTCAGGAAATTCCTACATCCCTAGAAAAATAACTCAAAGTATATGTCATTCTTATTTACTGGATAGCACTTATTATTATTATTGTTGTTGTTGTTGTTGTTATTAACTGCTCTGGTTTAAAAAAGAAGAAGTTTGGCAGGAAACAAAGCTGAAACAGTTGAGTAAAATGAGTTTAGATTCATTTATTTATTTTACCCTCCATCTCCCATCACCTCATTGATCCTAAATTGCCTATATTCTCACTTGGTTTTTTTTTTTCACATGCTCTGAGAGTTTGTATCCTTATTACTAAAATTCATGGTTTTTTTTTCCCTTATTCCTTTCCATTTGAGTTGATTAGTTGTTTCTGCTGAAGTGATGAGTCAGTAGAAACAGCTCCATAAAATGTTTTCTCTTTCCGTCTCTAACAAGTATTTGTTCTGGGGATCAAAACTTTGAAAAAACAAATTGCATTTCACCTCTCTCAAACAGAGGTATTCTACACTTTAGCGTATGTGCACATGATAACAAAATTACCAAACTTGTCTGTTTTTCAGATTGCTGAAATAAATGAATTTTGTTGCTGATACCTAATAGCCAAGTTGTTCCATCAGGCCATTTCTAATTGCACTCAGAACAAACTCTAAACTCATGGGTTTCAGCGTGTCTTATTTTCTAAACAAGTAATTTCAGGAAATTGAATCCACCTTTCTAATATAATAGCTTAGATGAAACCGAGAACTGAACAAAAACATACTCACCAATATACACATTGCCAGACACTGTATAAATGAAGGCTGTCCATCCTGAAATGGAACCGACAGTACTGAAAGGTTAGTTATATAATTTCGAAGGAAATAAGCTAAGAATGAAGAAAAAACACTCAGATAAGATGTTTCATTTCCTCTTAGAGATATAGTTCAAAGCGTGGCAGATGCTCCAAGTTAAAAAAATATATTTTTTAAAAACACTAGAAACTTAATTTTGAACCAAATGAGAAAATAGCCACACAGCCCCTCAAGTTAAAATTGTTACTTGGCCCATATATTTGCACATCAAAATCTGAAGTATAAACAACAACAACCTCCTTTCTTCTAAATTACAGTAGGTTCCATTGTACTGACTACATTCTCCTATAATAGCTTTAGTTTTCCTTTTTAAGCCTCTTAAAACAGTTAATGCTTAGTCTCCTAAAGTGTTAGTGAAACCAGAACAAAGAGAAGTGTTTTTTTCTCCGTCTTAATTCATGACGGAATCATGAATTACTTCTCATTCACTCTTAAGGCCATCTGCAACTAATTTTCACCTCTTCTTCCCCCTCCAAGATCTTGTATTTAGATTGTTGACAGTTATAAAAGTTAGTTATAAAAGATAGTTATAAAAGTACTTGGGGTTATTCGAAGTCTTTCCAGAAAGCAAGGACTGGGTTGTTTTGGAGGGTTTTTTTGGTCTGTATCCTTCGAACCTAGATCAGTACCTAGGACACAGTGGGCACTTAGATGTTGTTCCATCATTTTTCAGACACTTCCTACTCTTTGTCCCATCTGGGGTTTCCTTGGCAGAGATACTGGAGTGGTTTTCCAGTTCCTTCTGCAGCTCATTTTATAGGGGAGGAAACTGAGGCAAACAGGGTTAAGTGACTTGCCCAGGGTCACACAGCTAGTAAGTGTCTGAAGCCAGATTTGAACTCACAAAAATGAGTCTTCCAGGCCTGGCATTCTATCCACTGTGCCACCTAGCTGCCTCAGGTACCCAGATATTTGAATAATTAATTCATAGGATTATAAAGTTAGAGACAGAAGAGGCCTTAGAAGTCATCAAATCCAACTTCCTAATTTTACAAATAAGAAAACTGAGGTGCAGACATTAAATAACTTAGAGTTACAAAGCTAGCCCACGTGTGAGACAAGATTTGAGTCCAGGTCTTCTTGATTCAAAAATAACACTCTGAATGGGCATACTTGTTCTTGGAATAGGATGATAGGATGTGTTAGTCAAATCAAGAATTAAGTATTTAATAAATACTTACTATGAACTAGGAAAGATAAAGCTATAACTATAATACACTGCCTCATGATACCATTACCTCTACGATGCCTTCCTTCTTTGATCTTCCCAGTCAAAATGATCTCTTCCTCCTCTTAAATTATCTTAGCATGAAAAGAAAAGAGAAAGATAAAAATAGCCCCTGCACTCAAGGAGCTCCCATTCTAAAGCGAGAGGCAACATGTAAATAACTAGATATTTGCAGAAATGGAAAGAAATCTCAGAGGGGAAAGCACTAGCAGCTATGGGAGTGAAGAAGGACCTTCTAGAAGGTGGAGTTTGAGCTACATATTGAAGGAAGCCTGGAATTTAAGAGGTGGAAGTGAGTAAGGAGAATATTGCATGCATGGTAGACAGCCAGTTCAAAGACAGGGAGATGGCAGATGTATCACAGATTGGCACATCATTGGCAATCTCAAAGCTTTGCAAGTACCTAGTTATTCCATGTGTCTACAGTACAGAGGTTGGGATTTCTCCTGAACTTGGTTTTTTCCTAAGGAAAACTCACCTCTTAAAGAAATGAAATGCATAATGAAGAGCTAAAAATTGCTCAGAAAACCACTGTTATTGCAATGAATAGGAAGAAAGGGAAGTAATCTCAAGGCTAGGAGATAGCATAAGGGAGTGGAATCAGAGCCAGCCTCCTATCATCCAAATAACTGGAGTCAACTGAGAGAACAGAAACACACAGCTTACAGGGTAAAACGTGAAGGAAAATGGAGAAAGGAAGAGAAAAACCAAAGACAAGCTACAGGATTTGGCTTAGAAATAAAAAAAGATACTAGACAAAGTAAGACAGTCAAGAAAAAGTCACACAACAGAAAATACACAAGCATGGCCATTGTTAATGAAGTCTTTTCAGTAAGAGCACAAAAAGGTGAGCAATTTTTTTCCTACCTTCCTTTCCTCCCTTCTTCTCTCCTAGATCTCTACCCAAACATAGCTCATGGTTCTCCTCATAAAGGTGAATGAGGTCTCAGGTCATGGCCTCCCAAAGCCTATATGCCAGGGTGCTGGGTGTTAGCATCCAAATTATGTGCTGAATCTTGGTGGTGGTGGTGGTGGGGTACTGCCAGCACTTAGGTCTCTTCTCATTGGTTGTACAATGTACTCCTTAGCAGGGGAGTTAATTAGTGAAGACCCATACCTTATAGAATCCAATTCTTTTTTTTTTTTGGTAAGGCAATTGAGGTTAAGTGACTTGTCCAGGGTCACACAGCTAGTAAGTGTCAAGTATCTACGGTCAGATTTGAACTCAGGTCCTCCTGACTCCAAGGCTGGAGTCCTGTACCACCTAGCTGCCCCATAGAACCCAATTCTAGAGTATCATTTGGGGAGTCTGATTACGCTATGGCATTTGTTTTCTAAGAGCATGGCAACCTCTCCCCATTTGCTCAGATTTATAACCAAGTTATGTGTTGAAATTCCTTTCTAGTTGTTTATCTAGTATAGTCCAGTCCTGGTTTGCAATAACCCCTTTTGTAATCCCCTTTCTTTTTTCTCTTCTCCGCCTGCATCACAGTCTTTGTCTCCTTACTTCCCTCCTTTCTGACTCATATTGTAATAAAGACGGTTCTTGGCTTTAGGCAAATCCATATTATGCAAATTTGACTTTATATAAGTAATTCTGAAAGAAACCTGCATTCCAAAAAACATTTGTGTTAACTTTACTGTGCAGTACTGTGCCCTCTCTCTCTGCTCCTACCCCTCTTGTTTCTCCAAGGCCTCCCCCCACCCCCCCCACCAACAAAAAACTCTTCAAGTGAAAGCAGAAGAAATGACACTTGGAGAGACTGCCAACCCCACCACCTCAACTGGGGACTTGGCTTAAGACCTCCAGGGCAGAGAGAGGAAACCTTTGCCCCACTCCACCTACAGATCTATCCAGTTCTTCCTCTCCATTCAGGCCAGGCACCCCTACATGACTGGCCCTAGTCTGCTCTTGCTTCTCCATTTCTGGCCCCACATGTCCTTGAAATGTGTGCCAGCTCCCTCCCTCTCTTCCTCTCTCCCTCCCTTCCATTCCCCTCACCCCATTCCTCTCTCCCTCCCTCCTTCCCTTCCCCAAGTCTATGAGTCAATTCACATTAGATAAAAATGTCTTTACATCGAGGTCTGCAGAAAGGTTCACTTACATAAAGCAAGAACCATCAGTACTTTAAAAGATCAGTTAGGCATAAAATAAAGCCCAATCAATCATTCCTCATTTCGACATACCAAGAAATTCAGCTTGTAGCCAGCCTTCTGGCGATGAATCTTTTCCACTCTGCTAGAGCGGTCCTTAAAAAAACAGATTCATCATCTTTCAATGGTCCTATACTTGAGGTTTTTCCAGTTTGGTGGGACAAAGCTTAGCACAACCTTGGAGAACCCAGGGCCACCTCCATCCTATGGTTAAGCATTGCTTCAACAGAGCTCCGCTGCTCACTTTTCTGTTTCATCTGGTTTATTTTGGCCTCCCCTCTCCCATCCCACATACTTGCTCCCTATCTCCTCAACTTAGCCCAAATCTAACCCCCCTTATTTTTTTCTTTGTCTCTTCCCCTTTTTTATTTCCTATGAAGTACAGATGGGAGACGTTGAGGCATAATGTATTAAAAAAACAAACAAGCAAACTTCAGAGCCAGAAAGACCTGGGTTTATACCCTGTCCCTCATATATTCTGATTATGTGACCCTGAGTCCCTTAATCTCTTGGTGCTCTAGGCAAGGTGCCAATTGTAATGGTAGAGGAAGTTTCTTCATCTGAGAGTTCCCTGTAATAATGAAATCCATAGGTCCAGTCCCTGTACAGTAGAAAATCATGTTGGCTTGTATGAGTGGTCAAATAGCCTTGTACAGTATCTACTGAAAAGTATAGTAGAAAGTTCATTAGGCTTAGAATTAGGAAACCTAGGTTTTAGTCCTGATTGTATCACTTACTAGCTGCGTGGCCCTGAGCAAAACACTTAAACTCTCTGGGCCTCAGTTTCCTTATTTGTAAAATGAAGGGTTTGAACCTCTAAGGTTCTTTCAAGCTCTGAAATTCTATGGTCTTAGGGTAAATGTATTATTATTAACTTGCTACTGGAAAAAAAAAATCTCCCAAACAAAACAAAAAAGCATCTCTGACTGGAGTATGTCCATATGGCAGTTATATGAGTCAGTGGCATGGTTAACACAACCTTTTAGACAGTGGTGTCAAAATCCAATAGAAACAGGTCCCTTCAAACTTCATATTAACTTAGAAAACCACAAATTAACATTATCTATGTTGTATTGTATTTTTTATTTATCTTGTTCAATATTTCCCGATTATGTTTTAATTTGATTCAGGGAGTACTGGAGTTTTGCAGTTGATTCAATTTTATACCTCTTTTGGAGAGAATAGAGAGCTGGCCTTGGAGTTAGAAAGACCTGAGTTCAAGTCCTGACTCTGACACATATAATGGCTATGTGATCCTGGGCCAATCCTTAAGCTGTCACTCTCTAAGACTTTAAACTGAAGAACAGTTACTGCTCTTTGAATTGGTTAAGGGAAGTTTCTCACCTGGAGTTCTCAATATCAATGGAATCACCAATCTATCCAGGAAAAATAAAGAGGTACAGAGAATAAGAGAGAACAGGAAAATTTTAAATGCGTGTCAGGTCTACTTTTAACCTTATGTCTGCATCTACTTGCTGCTTACTATTTAAAATGGCAAGCTTTTTAAAGCTACATAAGACTAAGGATTTTTTTTCCTAATATGTTGTTCAGTTGTTTCAGTTGTGTCTGACTCTAC